AAAAAAAAAAAAAAAAAAAAAAAAAAAAAAAAAAGCCAGAATAAGTTCTCTCAAAGACATTTTTATTCAGAAACATTGTTTGTTGTATGATTCTTAAAAAAATAAAATCCATTGTGGAGAGGTCAAAGTAAAACCTGGTTAGCTGTTGGCCTGTCTGGTTCATATTGCATCTAATGGCTAAAAGGTCTCTCTAAAAGAAAAGGGCCGCTGCATCCTTCCATGTTTATGGTGCCAATAAAATTGTCCCTGCTCTGTTTTTACATCTAGATTTTTTACAAATGTCTTCAAACCTTGGAAACAAAGTCGAGTGGATTGTTTTTTAAAACTTTTTCAGAATTTTTTTACATGTTTTATTATTTATTTATTTTTTTGCAACATCTATTTTCAAGTAAACAGCTTTGAGGTTTAATCTTTCCATTATTTCAACATATGATTCATTTTGGACCTGAAACAACAGGTCATGATATGTTTCACCTTTTTTAAACTGGATAAAAACAAAAAGTTTATTACAAATAAAATGTAACAAAGTGTGAGTTTCGATCCATATAATTGGTAAAGTGTTGTACACATCGAATTGTCTAGATGCTCAACAAGCCCACAGCTACATTTCCAACCATTTGCCAGCTGCTACAGTAGATCAGTAAATCAATAAGTCTGCTGCGCTACTGTCTTTCACTTTGCAATAAATACTGAAATATCAAAAAAATGTATTTTAAAGGTATTGTGTCGGATGTTTTTTTTTTTGGGTGGATCATCAAAATAATTGGTCGTCCTAATTGTCAATCATTCTGGTGATATGTTTACGTAAGGATGTCCTACGTGCTCGTCCCCATTTTCACTCACAGTGAGTCTGATATAGTGGAAAATTTGCCAATCTTCTTTTGGAAAGTAAGCTTGTAAGAGCGATGCAAACAGCAATTTTTAAACAGAGCGTACACAAGGAGAAATTGGCTTGTGCATGCTCTCAGGAGCGGGTACAGGGTTGTACATGTGCATTTTTATTAAAGCGGAATGGGCGGGTCTTTTCAAAAATTTGCAAAAATCCTTCACTATACCTTTGAGGGCCATTTATAAGACATCAACTCCTGTTTCTAATGTAATTTTTGCAGCACCAAAGATTTTTGCTCTCGTTGCACAAACTTTAATTTCGTTTACTAGCAATCCAACATCAGGTTGGTCTTGTAGGTGTAGTAGTGCATTAGAAAAACCAGCATGCATGACATGATGCTGCTGATCCTAAATAACTATATAATTACTTGAAAGTATTCAAAAGAACAGCAGTGGAAGTTCGGTCAATGAGGCCATTCATCCTGTGAACAAACAGGTGGTTCTTATTAAAGGTCAAAAGCAGCAAAGCTTCTTCCCATTGACGCTAGGTTTGGGTGTAAATGATAAACCTCTGGGATACGGGGTTCTGTTGAGAAAAAGCAGCAGTGAAACGGAAAATATATGAAACCTGCTCCTAGAGAAGGAACAGATGAGGTGTTCCCACTATGGGGACTGCTTCAGAATAGAAAGCAAAACCAGAAAACAACCTGAAAACTAAAGTTCAAATACACTAAAGGATGAGGTATGTTGGTTGAAGTGAGTTTACAGATATACAATATACACACCCAGTGCTTTTAAATCAAAATATGCAGTTTTTTTTTTATGTGTTGAGCAACATCAATTATGAATCATGGATCAATTTCAAATATAAAAAGGAAAATACTTACATTTGTGTTTCAACAATATCCCCAAACACGCAGGTTTGCATGCACTGAAATAACAGCTTTTACCAAAATGTTAAGCTGTACTTACTTTTTTGAACAGGCTAAAATAAAACATGCATTATGGTTGAACAGTAACAAAAGGTGGGATATTTAGTGTGGGATTCATCTTCCCCATATTTAATGATTTCCTGTCAATGTTGGATGGAAATTGTAGTCTATTGATGCCCCCATGTGGTCAAACACATATTAACTGAAATAATCACAAAAAAGTTAACCTGCTCTGCTTTTAAACCTTCCTAAAGTATTTTAAAATGTGTGATGTCATTTCCTAAGCGCAGACAGAGAGCACTATACAACAGTAGCTGTGGTTAGCTTGTGATCATATGACATAAAACTACCTTGGTTACTCAGAAACATGATGCTAAAACAATATTTACTTGAGGCAGCAACTGAGGGGCAAATATGCAACTGTTATCTATGGCATCTGTGCAAACATCGTCTTCTTTTACAGTTTAAAACTGTTAAATATCATTTGTGCAATTGTGCAAAGCTGAAAATAAACTTATGCTTGCATCCACATTCTGTGATTATGTCAGTGATGGCTTATCTCAGCTTTATCTTAAAGAAAGCTAATAACTGTGATAGATAACTGTACATTTTTCTAATTACACAAATGAGCTGCTGCTGCAAAAGAAACATCAGTGTCTGATGTCTTTAACTAAAAGGCATGTTGTGTAGTAAGGATACTTCATGTAAACAAATCTGGCTCCATCAGAGATTAGTCTGAATCAATAAATGCATCTATGAACACACAGATTAACCGAGTGCTTTCCTTCAGGTAATCATAGGCTCCCGATAAAATGCAGTGCCCATTATACATTTTATTTAAAAACAAAATAAAGCATCACTCAGCTCTTCTGAGGAAAAAGACACAAGAGAACAAGCAGCAACGTCATTAAAACATTGAGAACAACTGAGCTCTGGTTAAAGACACATGGTCATTTTCTACCGCATGTCAGCGGCACGAGGTGTCCTGCAAAATAAATTTAGTCAATGCTAATCTGACTCATGAGAAAAATAAAAAACAAAACAAAAAAAATTATTCATAAATGCATCCTCATTATTCTGCTTTATACTTTGCAGCACAGTTGTACACTGGGACATTTCCATATTAGTTTCATTCAAATAAATCCAGTAAATACATCTAGGATTATGGAAAAACTCATGCTTTATATGTCTCTCTCAGATGAGGGTTATACTTCTGCTACTGAAACGATGTTCGTTATCCGCATTAACACTGAAACCCAACGGGCTGCACAGATACAGAATGATCAGACATTTACTCTTAAGGCTTACTCTGTTATCCTGTCATCACCTAGAAACTTCTAAATAATGGCTTCTTGCTGGAAAAGCATACCATGCAACCTTAGTTAACTGTAGAGTTAAAAAAATGAGGTTTGTGTGTTAAATAAAGTCATCTGAGGTGAGATATTAGATGAAAATAATTTCATAAATGTTTTTTTTCTTCTTAAAGAAACCATGGAGATTCCACTACATTATATTTACAAGTAGACATGGGTCGGTATTAGATTCTCATTACATTAAATATCACTGAGGGAAACTTAAAAACAAAATTATAAGATGATCCACGTACATCTATTTAAAAATTCAGCGGTCTGCCAGTTACAGTTTTAAAACATCTTTACTCTCGTACAAATGATGGCCTGGGAAAGCTGCAAATACTTAAACAGTAGAGTTTGGCTTTTTCTGTAAACATTAGAAATGATTTTGATAATTAGAAATAACACAGCTGATGAGCAGCCCTCAGCAACAGGTGGGAGAGGGGCTGGTTTTAAACTGTCAGATGGAAATCAAGAAAACCAAGACCACTAGGGCACTTTTCCCTGAATCTAATATATATATATATATATATATATAAAAAGAAAAAACAAAAACCCTCAAGTTTTAGCAGTTTGGAACATTTAGAGATCCTGTTACGCCTCGTAATCAGCCCGTGTACACGCATCCAGAACTCAAATTTACTCAATTTGATGAAGAATATCATAAAAAAAAAAAAAAAGCCTTTACTTTAGTGAAACTTTATTTCTGAAACCAGGCGAGGTGACGTAAAATGATTTTTAGAACATGCTTTCAATGAGCTCACAATTCCTTGACTGGACATCCACCGAACAATTAAACCAACAGCATTATCATCATCCACGATATGGAGGCATCCCTGTTCAGAGATCTGAGCATTTACTGTACATTAAACAATCATCTTTTGCATCTATAAACTGAATGTAATTATATTATTCTTCTTATAGCTCTCTTTGTTATCTGTCCCATTAGATACAGTATGTACAGTTAAAAACTGCAACGGTTCTGTTGGTGCTGGTGTAGCGAGCACTCTGTCCAAAGCTGGAGTCATGGGATGCACAGTCACGCAGAGCTTCATATACCCAAACAAAGATGACTTGGAAGAATCTTAAAACACACAGCTCTTTTCTGTCCTGTCCATTTAAAGGACGCACAGCGGGTGAATCCTGTCTCTGCGATGCGTCCTCGTTGGCCCGGTGGCGAGGCTGTAGCGCCCCTCCTGGAGCAGAGCGGAGGGCCCTCCAGGACGCTGAGAAACTGGCAATGTCCGTACGAGGCCTCCGTCTCAAGGAGACGGAAAATGTGGCCAGTTGTTCTCAACTCAGCTCCCTGAAAGACGGTTTCAAGTGCTTCTGTTTTCTCTCTGAAGTCTACAGGTTTTTTTTTTCCACCCTTTTTTTTTTTTTTTGTACAAGTCTTAAAAAAAAAACTATGATGTCGCTGTAAAAGAAACAATGTTCTGGTTTTCCAGAGTCGGGATTGGGTTTAGAGAGTTTTACGTTTGGATCCTGTAACAATTGGTCGAGCGAATTCCACAAAATCGTCTATAAGGACCGGCCATGCACCTGAGGGAACGGGATACACCGTCAATCAAACAGCGATAAGGCAGAGAGAAGAGATGCTTTGTGGATATTCTGCAGTTACACACTCACCTTCTTCGTCATAGTTAGACATGTCATCTGCAATCATGTTACCAAAGTCCAACAATAAGTTCCACGTGTCCTTTGGGATGGATCGTTTATGATGCTCCTGGAAAGAAGAAGCGCAGATCAAGATTAGGCTTAACAAGATCCCTCTTTATCACCACAGGGATCAAGCTAGTTTTACTCCAATCTATCTGGAGGATAAAAATCTAAATTAGCTCATTTGGGAGTTTTTTTTTTTCAGATTTCCTGAAAGATACACAACATCTGTTGGTTTTGAGCTTTTAATTCTGAGTGGTGTTTCTATCATGGCGACGCCTTTGAGATAATCTGTAAACAGAACCGACTCATCTAGAAAAATCTAGACTTGGCAGGAAGATAGACTTCCATCACAGCAGACTCAATGCTAAGTTAGCGATAGGATGCAAAGGAAAAAAAACAAAAAAAAAACATACCAGCCTTAAAATGTGCACACTTATTGAACCCTGTTATTACACCTTTTATGCCCTTCTTTCAGATGTATAAATTTTTCTGTTGATTATTACATGTAGTAGGACTGCTACATACAGTAGTACACACTATTTAAGCTGCTGTTGCTGTAGATCAACCTCTTAATAAATCATTCTGTCTTGTTTTTAAACATTCAATGCCATTACTTTTCAGCAATGTTTATAAACTATTGAATTTTTATACTTTGAGGAAAATGAGTATTTGAACACCCTGTTATGTTGCTAATTCTCCCACTTCGAAATTGTGGAGGGGTCTGAAATTGTCTTTGTAGGGTCATGTCCACTGTGAGAGACATAATCTAAAAGAAAAAGACAGAAGTCACAATATATGATTGTTTAACTATTTATTTGTATGATACACCTGCAAATTAGTATGTGTACACCTAAGAGAATCAATGTTAATATTTGGTAAAGTAGCCTTTGTTTGCAATTACAGAGGTCAAATGTTTCCTGTAGTTTTTCCACCAGGTTTACTCACACTGCAGAAGGGATTTTGGCCCATTCCTTTATACAGATCTTCTCTAGATCAGTCAGGTTTCTGGGCTGTTGCTGAGAAACGCAGAGTTTGAGCTCCTTCCAAAGATTCTCTATTGGGTTTAGGTCTTGAGACTGGCTAGGCCACGCCAGCACCTTGCTATACTTCTTCCAGAGCCACTCCTTGGTTATCCTGGCTGTGCTTCTGGTCATTGTCATGTTGGAAGCCTCCACCATCTTCAGTGCTCTAACTGAGGGAAGGAGGTTGTTCCCTAAAATCTAACATTACATGGCCGCCATAATCCTCTCCTTAATACAGTGCAGTCATCCTTTCTCATGTGCTGAAAATCATCTCCAAAGCCTGATGCTACCACCCCAATGCTTCACAGTAGGGATGGTGTTCATCATTCTTCTTCCTCCAAACACAGTTACTGGAATTATGACCAAAAAGTTCTATTTTGATCTCATCTGACTACATGACTTTCTCCCATGACTCCTCTGGATGATCCAAATGCTCATTGGCTAAATTAAAACGGGCCTTGACATGTGCTAGTTTAAGCAGGGGAACCCTCCATGATTTTAAACACTGACATTTTAGTGTATTAATTAAAGTAATAAATAGCAGACTAACAGGTCTTAGAGGGTCAGAATTAGGGCTGCAACTAACGATTATTTTGAAAATCGATGAATCGGCCGATTATTTTTTCGATTAATCGGACACAAAATATTTTTTTTATATTAACCTCTTTATTCCAAAATAAACATTTTAGACAGAACAAACAAGCACACAAGTACAGGTTTCTCATTAACTGTACTGGTGCTATATGAAAAATAAATGTTTGTTTTAAAACTACGCAAACTTACATGAGAAATGTAGCTGTACATCCACAAAATATAGGGTACTTTGTTTCATAAAGCGCAAAAAGAGACAGGCATTTTTGTTTTTTAAAGCCCCTAAGGGGTTCAAACAATAGGCCCCCCCATTTCAACAAATGAGGTTTTTTTAGACTAGAAGAGTTCTGCCTTTTAAGACAGGAAAGTATAGCAGTTAAAGTTGCTACTTGAGAAAATACTGAACCATAGAGATAAAAATAGCCCTGTGATTCAAATTATAAATTGTATTTGGAATAAAAATGAGAGAACTAGGGGTGCTAAAAAACACATCCTCCAAAGACAGATATTTACATGGGAATGTGGCAGATAATTAATTGACATATTACTGATCTTGCTGGATTTTATTCTGCTTTACTTCCATAAATTGCAGGATCTTCTTTACTTTATCTTTGCCAGAAGATTTAAACTTTAAAAGCCTTGCCCTCATAATTTGCAAATTAATTTATTTATAAAGAAAATATAAACGCTGCTTAAGCTAATTCAAATGAAATTAAAAGTAAAATAAGTAGCCAACCTTATCACTGTCTGTAACCTACTAACACGGTAAGGAAAGCATCAGTTGAGCTACCTGAGAAACTAACTTACGTTTCCCCACTTTAAAATGAAACAAACATGGTTACTCATCCTGCTGATCAGCTCTCTTCACTGCCATTGAAGGCTCCAACGTGTTTTCTTTTCAGGTGCTGCGTCATAACAGTGGTGCTTCCGTGCCATGTTTATTTGTTTTTACAAAAGTTGCATGTTACGACTTTTTTCACTTTACAAAGCGCAGGCTATTTTAATTATTGTGATCAATTTGCGCCGTCAATCCCGGGGCATGCGCGCTTCATTTGCAGTCTGGACGCTGAGGGTAAACTCCTCACTAAAATCCTGCGGCTCGGACTGCAGCGCTGAGAGGGATTCTTGTGGGAGAGGGAGAAAGGCGTTGGGATGGGGGAGGCGCCCCACGGCAGCAGCTGCCGCTGGAGGACAAGAGTAGGAACGATGCATGCTTTCACGTAAGAGTCTCCAAAAGCCGCCAGTGACACCGTAAAAAGTCGCCAGATTTGTCGCTAGTCGCTTTTTAAAAAAATAGTCGCTGGAGGGGTCTGAAAAGTCGCTGAGTTGGCAACACTGCAACTGCGGCGCTGACTCGCTCCGCCATATTTTTTTTTCTTCCCCGGGATGACGGCGGCGGATGACGCATTAATCGCGCGACACAACTAATCGATGATTAAATTCGTTGCCAACGCTTTTAAAAGTCGATTTTTATCGATTTTATCGATTCGTTGTTGCAGCCCTAGTCAGAATTATAGCTGATAGACAGGTATTCAAATAATAATTTGCAGCTGTATCATACAAACAAATAGTTAAAAAAATATATACATATATAATGTGATTTCTGGATCTTTTCCCATGATTTCTGTGTGGGAGAACTTTTAAAATAGCAGAATATTTTCCTCATTCTAGGTTATAAATAAAGGAATATGAAGTGTTTGCATCATTTTGACTCACCAAAAGAAATCTATTCCATAGATCGAGGAACTTAAATCTTCCTGACAGAACCAAGTTCCAGTAGGCTACAGCCATCTCCAAATCTGCACGCATACAAAAAGAGAGGAAGCTCTGTTTAGAAACGGGCCCAAGAGGAGACGCTGAGGGCTGGCATCCATGTCGTTTCACCTACCGAGACCTTTCTGTCCGGGATTTTTGGCAAAGTTAAAAGTGAACTGGTAGAAGTCTTTGAACTTCCCACTGTCTTTTAACTCCTGCTCTAATCTTGGCAAAAGGGCTTTCAGTTTTTCTGGGCTGTCGCACCTGAACAAAAACAAAACAGTTGAGTGATATTAAAATAATCACACAGAGCATAACCCAACCAGTTATGACACAACTGGCTGACTGAACACAAACTGGCCAACAGAGCCGGAGATATAGCCCTTTAAAGGCAAAACTTTGCAAGTTTCTCATTGAGTCATCTGAAGAAAACATTGTACCCAGGCTGTGGGTGGATCTATATTTAACCAGCCTTCCCTCCCTTCGGAGCTATAGCGAGAACCACCACAAGATGAAACTGGGGGTATATAACAGGCTGCTGATAATACCACTCACCCCAGCTCTGTCATTCCATCCATAAACTCCTTCTTGGAGAACTCGCACTGAGTGGCTGCGTGAAACTTCCATGCAACAACCAGCACGGTGATGCTGGCTGGATCCAATGAAAGGTCGTCACAAAACTGCTGGATCCCATCGATGCCTATCTTATTTTCATCCTGTGGATCTATTGAGACAGAGTGCTGAGTTAAACTCTTTGGCCTGCTGATCACTAAAGCTTTCTGCAGAAACTGCCTCGCTTTGTTACGTTACAACAAAAATCTCCAAACAATGAAGAAACCTCAGAGATGTGAAGTGGAAGGAAAGGTATAGACCATAGTGAAATTCTTTTTAGCAAATAGAAACTGAAGTTTGGTCTCGATTTTTAATCAGCCCTGAGAATCTGTGAGCATCAGTGTTAAAGTCTTGTAACTTGCAACTCATGAATATGCTTTGATTTGAATCAGAGCCACAACATATCAGATTTCACTTTCGCTTTCCAATAATCTACTTGACCCGTGGATCTAAAAACTGGATGGAAAGGTTAGGACATTTAAATGGTGGGAGGGTGTATGGTGACAGTAATCAAATATCCTTAATTGTATATTAAATAGTGGCATTGCAATCCAATGTTTTCCTAAAGCCCCTGTCACACCTTGACGATTTAGCCAGCGTAAGCCTGACGTCCTAGAATCTTCTAAAACGCTGGCATACGCCGAACTTTCTATGTATTTTTTTATTTTGTGCGTATAAATAGAGTATTCATTACGAGTCCAGTGCATATGTCAAACGACAGCCTAACTTATGCATAACGCACGGCAGCATGAAGCCCATGAAATGTCCCACGGCAGTTTCCTGAAGGGGCAGCAATTACATTAAAAGATTTCTTTGATCACAGTATTAACCTAGCTGCTGTTTACCACCTGACAAAAAAGTCGCAGCAGATTCAGCGTCATGTCTGCTGGGAAGTTTGTTAGTCGTTGCCGTGGGAGTGAACGAAGGGAGGATCCAATGACACTCACCTTCTCACTCACCCTACCACTGGAATAGAGTCAAATTGATGAGATCATGCTGATGTTGGAGGACGGCTAATATGTATTCCCATCTCAGCCCTACCGGATCCTCCATCTCTTGAGGAATGTCTGTTCACCATGAAGTCTGGAGGAGTAGTGACGGTTTCCTCCTGTGAACCCCTTTTTTTATCAAAAAGCTCCCGATACGCCGTTATATAGTAGCTGTGAGTTAGAAACATGTTCAGAGGTCGTCCGGAACACATCCAATACATTACTAAGCATTGGAGGTAAGTTCTTGATAAGTTACGCATCAGTTAAGCACAACTTACTCATAGGTTGTGGATCAGCTAGACGCCACGACTTATGAGTAACTTACACTTAACGTATATCAACAATCAAATAACTTACCTGTAATTTATGTCCCATGTTTGAGCATATTTAACGTATGTTGATGTGTGCTAGCGCGCTTCAGTATGCTTCAGCATGCTCATAACTTATACAAAACTGACTCATAACTTATGCCAGCATTTTTACCAGATTTTTCGTACTTCAGTCATATACTAGCTAAATCATCAAGGTGTGACAGGGGCTTAATTCTGTGGAGGCTTCATTGGAACTGATTCAATGGATGAATGTTTATGGTTTCTGTTCGTTTAGAACATTGAACTTCTACCTCTGGCGCCAACAGTCAAAAAAATGACAAATTTGGTCTTATATGACTTGAGACCCTTAAATGGTTTTGGCTAAGCATATAAAAAGGCCGGAAATGTGGAGTACATAACTTACATTTGCTCTGTTTTTAGATTCTCCCACCTGAGCTGTGGATATCTGCAGCTCATCCAGTCATCATAGCAATCTTGGCAGCCTCAGCCAGCTGCCAGCCTACAGCGCAGACATGCCTTGGTTTGTTTATGCCAAGGCATGCCTTGGTACATGCCTTGGCATAAACAAACAAACTCTATTTCAAGCTTTTCCAAAACTTTCTCCCTGGCCTGTCTGCTGTGTTTGTTAACCAGCATTCTCCAACAAACCTCTAAGGCCTTCATGGAGCAGCTGGATTTATATGAAGGTTGAAATAATAATAACCTACGAAGGGGATAGGCTGCATTAAATGTGATCTAAAGTTAAGAGAGTAGAAAAATTTGAATAAAACAAAAACTATTGTTTTTTTCTCATCTGTTTTGTTTTTTCCTTCCACTTCACAATTATGCCCCAATGTGTGTTTGTCCATCCCATAAAATCCCACAAAACACTCTGACGTTTGTGATTACAGTAAGAAAACAAACAAACAAAAACCTATGAAGATCTAAAGCAGTTATTAAGCTTACCTTTGTAACGGTTATAAAGCTGTTCCAGCTTTTTCCGGTCCACCGAGGTTTTCATGGATTCCTTACAGTAAAGCTCTGGGTTCTGAAAATAGTTGTCCGTCGCAACTTCTAGTTTCCAGTCATTTTGTGTGAGGCAGTAAACAGCTGTCTTCTCCCCAGCCTGTGTGAAGGACATGAACTGCCGTACCTTGTCCCTCTGCGAAGACTTCAGCTTATGCTGTGCAAACACGAGACAGGGGCGGTCAGACACAAGAGCCATCAGACCGGACAAGACGGAAAACAAACCAACACAGAAAGACACAAAAATGAAAATATACAGCGAGCTGTAAACATGGAAATACATTCAGCAGGACAAAAATCCCTTAGATGCTCATATGCTAAAAAGGTTAGTCAGTGACACCGACAAAAAAAGAAAAAGAAAAGACATTTAAACAAGATTGTAATTATGCGCTGTGGGAGAGCAACACATGCTTTTTCTGAGGAGAGATGTTGTGGATACTGAGATCACATGCTGTACAGGGCCCCTCAGATAACTACAGCCACAGATGTAACATGAGCAAGGAAATAAGATGCCATCGCAAGGAGCCACAGATGCAACAAGTCTGGAGTGTAATAGAAGCAATGTGCCAAAAATACTGTGAAACATAAAAATAAATAAATCAAAGAGTGCAGGTTACAGGAAAAACTGAGCAGAGGGCAAGCAATTAGAACATTTAAACCGGTCATTTAAGTTCAGAGAAAAGCTCAAGTCCTTAGACACTATGTTTTAAAACTAGTAAAATACTTCAGCACATGGTTTTCCTCAGTTTAAAGCTCTTATAATGTAAGAAATCACACACACTACAGGGTGGATGGCTGTGCTCTTCAACTGTATGGACTAGCTAGCAGAGAAGCACTGCTTTTCCACCTGTTGCAGTGTAATTCCTGACAGCTGACTGAAAGAAAACAACACTTTTCCTAATTCGCCGTCATTCTTATTAATAGAAAACGTTTTAAAATCTAAAATTTGCAAGCTATTAGCTGGAAAGCTGTGAATATAGTCAATTTATGTTTGAAATTTCAGATTTAAATCCTGCGATTAATATGAGATAGTGTGGTATTTTTATTTAGGGTTACCATGCATCTAATTTCAATGCAGGGGTAGCTATTCCACTAAACCGCATGGCAGAAATTAGATAAACTATAATGCTAATAATTATTTAAGTATCTGTCAAAGAAAAGTAGTTTGGAAGGTCAAATGCACAGATTAGCTCTTTTGTATAAATTTCAGATTGAGCATAATCTAAGGTTGACCACATCCATCCATCTATCTGCAGGGTATATAATATTTACATTGTTTTTATATCTAATATTTCAAACTTTACACGATGGACTTAACTTAAACTCAATGAATCAACAAACTGATCCAGCTGAAGGGAAAAATCTCCACCAGCTGCATCATCTGGACTCTTCCCTGCAGAGCAATATTTCCAGGAAGCGAGGACTAAATGTTGACTTCAACAAGCTGCTAATCAACCTCCTGACATCTTTATTCATTTCAAAACAGGATTCAGGCTTGAACTGAAACGTGTTTGCCTTTTCTTAATAACCAGATTATCATGAGGACACATTTCAGTTAGCTTTACCTACATCCCAGCTAATAACTTAACACAGGCTAACGTTAGCCGAGTTAGCCTGAATGTATTGACAACAACCAGGAGATGATATAATCCGGAGAAAAGTGTCAGTGTGGTTATAAATAAGCCGAGATTTTACCCAAACCACCCAGCCTGAGTTTGAGGTCCAGTGTTTGACCTGCTAGCAGACGAAGTTACTAGACTGCCAAAAAGGGACGTGTGGCTAATTCTGCTAGCTGCTCTCAAAATATCAACTGACCTTCCCTGAAAACAGAAGCGAAAACCATTAACTGAGCACTGGGAGCTGAATAACACTACACACGCCGCGCGCTTCGACACTATCCCATCATTTTTGGTACATAAACATTGATGGCAAAAAAGGCCAGTGCCTGGGTTTGTGTTTATTTTGGTCACCTACCATTTTTACACCCGCTGTTTGACCAGTTTAGCAGCCCGTGTGTTGCCCCATGTGCGCATGCGCAAAGGAAGTAGCTGAGCAGATAGGATCTGCAAGCTCTGCATTATTAAGTTTAAAATATAATCAATGGACATTTTAGTAGAAATATTTCATACATTATTCAGAATAAATTAATATGGGTTTGATTGTTGTATTTGTGTGGGTTCCAGACAGGGCCGTAACCAGGAGTTTTGAAATACTGAAGTCAAATATTGCGATAAATCTTACTTGACAAAACACATCCTAATATGGTGGTTTTAAAAAATATATATATGTTAGAAACGTCAATAAAGAGTTAAATCACACGCCCATAAAGGAGGTGAATATGAACATAACTCACAAAGTGAGAGTATTTGAGTGAGTGAGTGAGTGAGTAAGTAAGTGAATGAGTAAGTGAGTGAGAGAGAGAATAAATGTGAATGTGAGTGAGTGAGTGAGTCACATATAGGCCACTCCTAATAGATGATCAGGTGTACACAGTGGTGGCCGGTGCATATGTTACCTAGGCCTTCAGTTGGCACCTCTCAACTTAATGTACTTCTTATACCTTGAAGGCCAAATATATATCTATGCTTTTTGCAACAATGGGTGTCAAGGGGTTAATATCACCACTTTCGCATTTTCATAGCAGAAACCACTGATAGTATTAAAATACAAAACCTTGGGGTGAGATTTTGAAATAATTTGGTCAGGAAACCCTGTCTGGGTTAAAAGAGGATAGGTGCAGCTATAGGTTGGAGGCTTTCAGAGGATTTAACTGAAAAAAGTGGCAAAATGTAGAATTTTTATAGCAGAGTAAATGTTACTGAGTAACAATAAGTGATCTGTATTTATGTGGAACATTTTTCTCACAATATACATTATTTTCTACATTCTGGTGCTTTTTAGAGAGTTGAAGTAAAGCAGAATGGACACTACTAAAATACTTGCCTCTTAAATATACTTTAAACTAACAATTTCACAACTTTATGTTCATTAATTATTTTCTGCAGTTCAAGTAAATTAAACAATGGGGAACTAATAAGCTATTACTGGATTACTGGCACTGATACAGGAACAGGTGCAATCGAAACCTATGCAAGCTACACTGAGTCTGAATATTTGGTAATAGGCTAAGGATTAAAAAGCTTTATTCATTATTTTATTAGTTTTTCTTACAATCGACAAAACGGCTAAACAATTCAGACCTTCTAGGAGGCTGTAGATTTATTAAAAACTCATCATGACAGGAGACAGCACTTCTCTGGATGTTTCATTTGAATGGTGTGATGGAATTAAGTTTTTAAACATATTCAATGGACCAAAATAAAGATAAATGAATAAGATAAGTAATAATAAAAGAAGAAGATCCCTGTGGCTTCTCCTCTATGAATTCTGTATAACTGAGTTGTTCTGCACATCCTCTCTGGATGTGGTTGGTCTTTTCTTGAGTCGCTGATCTTTTGAAAAATAAAATGCAATAGTTCTTTTCTTTTTTTGGAGCTCCTATGGGTTTAAGAGGCACACATGGAAGCTTTAAGAATTAGAGACTTAGGCTTAGACAGATTTATTTTTGTCATTTTGTATACACGAGCGTAAACAAAAAGAAATTTTGTTTAAAACAGCTCAAGACGATTTAATTTTTTTAAAGTGCAGACTTGAAAACAGTAATAAATACATTAAGAAAATAGTAATATAAACATATGACTATATATTTACAGTTCTAACATAATTTTTTAAAAATGAATTATAATTTAAAAAATTGAAATATTTGTGTTAGTTTAATTACTCCTAAATACCAACGGGAGGTTATTAAACTAGACAGAGCAATAATTATTTGACTTGTGAGCAAAACATGTACTAAAACTGGGACTAAAAAAAGCACCAGATAAAGAGAAATAACCATTAGATGTGATCCTTTTTACTGTGAGAAACTGGGAATATGCAGTGCGAGTAAAGACACTGAGATGGGCGAGTCTCACTCCCAATGGGTGAGAGTTGACAGCCCTGAAAATATGAGATGTAACAAGTGCAGGTATAACCGAGAGTAGGATTAGCGTGAGGATGAATATAGATATGAAACAGTTTCTAAACTACTTAATAAGCGTTGATAATACTTTTCCGCTTTTCTTTGACTTTTTGGCATTTCATGTTATCCCGTATAGCTGTCATAACTTTAAAGAAGCTTTAAAACTTGCAACTACCACAGGGAAAGAGTAAAAAATTTATTTATTAAACTCAAGGAACTGGAAAGTTCGCAGGGCATCAGAGTCCCAAATGGTAGCAGCACAGCACTGGGGATCAGAGGTAAGCAAGTTAACAGTGCAAAAGAATTACAAGTACTTCAATTTCAGTACTTGCCAATACAAAGTATCGACACAACTACTAATAAATGCCATTAACTCCTTGGAATTCATTTGAAAATTATTTATTTTCATTTGGCTCATTAAACAGAAATACATTTAGTGTATTGTAATTATATAGATATGTCCTCCTGTTATATTTTAAGACACATTTAGTCTGAGCAACACTTTTAGTGTAACATTTACTGAATAGCTTCAACAGCCTTGTCACAATTTCTACCTACATTTTAATTGAATAAACTATAAAACTATAGAAGTTTACATATACTTTTGCAATACCGTATTTTAACTGTTATATGCAGATACCTTCCACTGCACTTTAATTTAGATAGCTTCTGTCCAAACTATTTATTCATTTTATCGTAAAAGCCATCTGTATATTATGCTCATAATTCTGCCTATAGTAATAGCCATCTGTACAATATTTATAGTACATATTCACCTGCAAACTCTGTTATAATAACAATCATCTGTATATTATGCTATTGTACATATCTGTAAAAACCCTATTTATAGTAATATCCACCTGTATATTATATTCGGTAAATATCCAGCTGTAAATTTAGTTCATAACACTAGTTATCTAAATATTATATTCATAGGACAAATCAGTCAAATACTGTTTATAATGATATTCATCTCTATATTTATTCAGTAGAAACCAATGTCCTGTACTTATGGAACCATTATTTATCCTGCATTTGCTGATATTGCACTTCTGGTTAGACCTAAACTGCATTTCGTTGCCTTGTACCTGTACCTGTGTAATGACAATAAAGTTGAATCTAAAAAATCTAATCTAATTAAACTGTGAACGAGTAACTGATATCATACATTATACTTCTTGTAAAGTAGTAGGTCTAAACCTGTTTTAGGAAAGTGAGGTGCAAGTCTTTGTTGATTTAAGATACATCTTTGTCAGGATTTGTTTGAGGGTTGTGGACCCAAAGGCAGAGGCAGGAAGGCAGAGGTAAATTTTTCCGAGTGATTTAATGATGAATTATAAAAAACTGAAAACAGAGGCAGGTTATCCAAAAGATCAAAAAGAAAACAAAGTCCAAACAAAAATAAAACCAGGAGTTCAAAGATAAAAAAAAAATAAGAATAAAACACAAATCTAGACGTAACAAAAAACCAAGGAGACATCAAGGTAATCAAAATCACAAGGAGGGCTCAGAGAGATGAAGAGGAGGAAGACTGACGAGGTTTGATGGTGTTTGACGAGGACCCAGCAAAGAGGAACTGAAGGGAGAGGGCTTTTAAAGGAGACTGAGACAAAGAGGGGGCTAATGAGGAAACTCAGAGCAGGTGTGCACAGAACAAGAGAGGGAAAGAGCTAGGGAAAAAGGAGAACATAAGAGGGCAGCAGAGGGCAACAAATAGAAACCTGGAAGACTGGAAATAACAACCAAAAAATAATAATTAAACTTCTAGGACTATAAAACATGGAGAAAAGAAAACTAAACACTCAAAAGAAAGCATAACTGAAGCCAGACTAGGACAGTAACTGGAAAAAACCAAAGAACACAGCAAAATAAAAATAAAACCACTAACACTAGAAAACAAGGAGTAAAGCAAGACTGAACACTAAAACGAAAATATAACAGAACCAAGACTAAGACAGTAACTGAGAAAAAAACAAAGAACTCAATAAACTAAGAATTAACCCACTAAAATTAGAAAACAAGGAGCAAAGCAAAACTGGATACTCAAAAGAAAAACATCACAGAAACAGAAACCTGACTATCTCTGCATTACCTTCACTAAATCTGTTTGGGTTCTCAAGTCTGGCGTGTGAAACTGCTCTAAAAAGTCTCTCATTTTCCACACTGGTAAATGGGAAGACTTTTATCTTGGATCCAGTACAGTTGCAATGCAGTAGAGGGAGACCTTCTCCTGTCAGTGAAGCACATCTTTGCAGCTGCAGCTAAGGTTGACTTCATTGTTTTGATACCCTTATCTTCAGTTTCTCTGTTTAGGAGTCTTAGAAGCATGTTCACAGCAGAGATAACATTGAAACAGAAACAACAGAGGTTGCTGAGTAATGCACAGTTTAGTTTTTCAAAACCAACAACAGATTAAAAAAAAACTCTCTATAGAGATGTGAAATGTTGTTTCATATTTTATACATAAATGTGTTTTTTTTTTTTCAAATGTATGTGTAAAATCCAAAAGTAAATAATATATTTCTTGTAAAATTAAGCTACTTCCCAAAGACTGTCAACAGAAAAATAGGCAGACAATGTCTAATGTTCCCCTTCCATGTAAAATCCTTGGATTTTCTCAGTTTTATCACTATATTAATTTCTTGCCATTGCAAGCATGTTTGGTGATTGCATTAATTTTCCTTCCCAGAGCACACATATAATTGTCCTGACCTCCTCCCAACCTTCCTCTTCCTTCAATGCAGAGGAGGAGGATCTTAAGAGGAGCTCCAGAATCTATCTCTCTGAACTTACATTAATCTGAGTTGTTTTTGGAAGTGTATAAAGTGGTCATCTGTACAAATGATGCAGCTAGATGTAGCTGTGTGCATTATTTTGGATCTTCAGGGGATTGGTTTAGGTGTTGCACAAAATTGTTATTGTTTTGGAAAAAGGCTTTTATTTTTAAAGAAATCTCTGTGAAAATTTTGTGTTCTGCATAACCTAATACCTAATACCTAATTTGTTGGTAGG